GAATCTCTCAACTTGTTGCCTGTCGATAAACCCCGTTTGTACTGTGCGATGGAAAGGTTTGTGGGGCAGTCCCCAATTTGATTAAAAGTCTCCAAATACTGACTATTGTAAGATTTCAACATTTCCTTCTCGCCCATATCAATGGAGAGTAGCTAGTCTATCTCCACCGGCGTCTTGGTATTCGTTCTGAATCTAGTCATAAATGCCTCTGTCAACTGCACCCATGAAGCTATGTTACATTCTGGCAACCTTTAAAACCATGTTAAACCCAGGACACCAAGGCTAGAAGGAAACAAGATACACATTAGGGCCTCGTTCCGTCGATATATGGCCATAACCTGGCGAAAGTGGCTTCAATGCATGTAGGGGTCTGACTTCCCCTTATAAGTAGTGAATTTGGGCTGGTAGAAGCCTGAGGGTAATGGTGCGTTCTCTATCGCCAGAACGAACGGCCAACTCTGCAACCTTACTAGCGCTTTGTCTGCTGGTTCATAGGCAAGGAGTGGCTCTGGCTTTCCAACCTCGATACTCCCATGCGTCCTAGGTGCCAATCATTATAGTGCAGAGACTCTGCGGGGGTTGCGTGCCTGAGTGTCTTCTCTCCTTTGAGCCCTTTCCTCAAGCATTGTCCATAGGTCCACCGACCTTGGTAACTCCGTGTGCCTAGACGTCGTTTGGTGCGAGTGCGAGGGCCAATAATTGCTTCCTTCCGTGTAGAACCTTTCAGTCCTCATTCTCTCAGACCTGGAGTAACGAGTCCTGGAAGTCCTTGATTGCGTATCGCCTGTCTTGAGGCTTTTACTTTTAGCTTGTGATGGTGTGACTTGTTTCTCAGGATCTTCCGAGTGGTAAGAGAGTGTGTTGCCTCTGCGCCCATTTTCCGTTGCTACTCATTTGCCCTTTATCTAGCACTTCATAGTCTCCATGTCTGCCGCCATCCTCCTTATTAATTCATCTTGCTCCCTCACGTGATCCTCCAGAACCTGAGGATCCAACCTCTGCCTCTGCCTTTCAAGACTTTGGGAGTGACGAGGACTGGAGCCCCGTCTCTCCCGTGTGTCCTTCCGGGAGTTCCGTCTCTGGGGGTCTAACTCTGCCATGGGTGGGATAAAAGGTAAGCCTTCACGTCTCCCGTCCCCCTCCGGGGTTTGTCCATCAATAGCAAATTGCGGCAAATCTTCATTGTGCGCCATTGATTTCAACTAAAGAGAAAAACTCGATGAAAAGGTTTTGTTCTTTGTGTGTTTCCTACAGACGGCGCCAATTGTAGGAGTACGAAATAATCTTCTCGTATAATCTTGTTGATCAAGTTTGCACTCTTCCAAACATCGTCGTTTTGTTACCTGAAAACACAAACGTGAGCTAGCCGGCGGGTGTATGCCGGAAACCTCTCCAATGCCTAAGTTAGTAAATAGACAATAGACGCAAAAACTCTGTGTATTTGAGAGTAAAAATTGTGATACTTGTACATAGGTCCTATTATGAACTTTTATAGATTCTACCTGGCACAATCCTAGTAGGACTCCAACTCTCCTTATAAGAGTCCTCATAGGAATCACACTCCCAAGGATATAGCCTATCTTGATAACTCCTTACTCACTGCTTATCTAAGTGAGATAGTCGCAACTCTTACCTCGGCTGGCACAAGACATAACCGTGCTTACACAACTCGGTGCTAATTAAGTCAATTCAGTCAACCTAGTCTTTGGAATGACCCCTTGTTGAGCTATCCTTTAGCTCGGTCCGATTCCTACTGATACCTCGGTCTATGACCGCTAGACCAGGCCACTGGTAGCCCACCTCTAACCAGACTGACGCGACCAAAGACCAAGGCTACAGAAATAATTACCTCGGCCCGTGACTCGGCCCAAGACTATATCTATCTCGGTCTATTCTAACAGACTTATTTAGCTCGACCCAATTTATGTATAAATTACCCTCTTAGATGTCATGTCAAATATAAACAACATTTTTATTGGTAGAGAATGAACAAACCAGGATTAAGGTAAAAGAATAAGTAAATTAAAGTAAATGAAAAAAAATATGAATAAATAAGGACAATAACAGAAACAACTCAAAACAATCTATAAAATACAAATTAACACAAATAACAAATACAAAGGAACTAATATTTAATAACACTTGACTCTAAAATTATTTTTAAAATTGAAATATAATTAATTTGGGGGTAAAGGAACTAATATTCATTAAAACTCCACCCGAAAACTATTTTTAAAATTGTCGTATAGTTAATTTGGGATAGGAACCTTTGTGCTTTTGGAGATGTGAAATCTTACAACTTTGAAGAGGATTTCTTAAAATTTTTGGGGGTGTCATTGCCTCTCTATGCTCCTCCAAAATATATCTTTTGAGTGCCATGTCAATTGGGATAATTATTTAATAATTCTGAAGTATGGCATAATATTGCGTTCTTAATTAGTAACATAGTTAAGGTGGGACAATATGGACCTACTTTTATTAAATAGTTAAGAAATAAAGAATAACCTACTTAACATATTTTGTAATTTATCATTCATCAAAACATTACGTTCATAATGTTATGTGACATTTCAGAACTACTTAATAATTTTCTATTAAGGAAACAATAGTCTACTGACCATGCATTTTGTCTACTTTGAGCTTATTCTAGATCTACCTAGATAATTCAAACCGTTCATCTTATAAGACTTGTAAGAGAAAAAGGTGATTCAATTGTGTGACTATTGATATTCAATTAATTTGATTTTTAAGTATAAATAATTTAGTTGACGGATCTTACAAGATGAATGTTTTAATTAACCCCTCAATGAACAAAATGCACTGTGCAGTAAACATAGAAACTCAGTCCTATTAATCGATCCCTAAATATGAATTACTCTCTATTTCTACCATTTTAACTTATGATATGATGTGTTAGGATAAAATATTATTGATACATGAATTATGGAGATGGATGGTCAAAAACGCTTTTTTCCTATTTCATCATGAATGAAATAGAAGAATAATACAGCCGCCCTCATGACTGGACACTGTTAACCCGCACGGTGGTTTGGTAACAAAAGAGTGGTTTGGTCTATGTATTCTTAATATTTCTAATATAATATATTCACGGTGGTGGTTTGGTTTTTGTATTCTTAATATATTTCTAATATATGTGAAAGTTCTATATATATATATATATATTGACGAGAGTAATTTGTGGAGGCCTCTCATATTCGATTTGAATCAACATCTTCTCCTTCATCTATTTTCTTGACTCTTTATTTGCTGGGCTATTAGGTCTACTTTTAGGCTCAATTTCGATAATAAGCCGCTCACATTTTAAGATTTATTGAGTATATCATACCTGTGAAAAATTAAGTTGATCGGATATCAGAAACTACGTGTTCGGATCATCAAACTAAAAACTATTTTTAAAAAAAAAATAATAAACAGTTTTCCGAACACATTGTTTGATATCCGATCAATTTGATTTTTCACAGATATAATATATTTAACAAATTTTAAAATGTTAACGATTTAGATCATCGAAATTAAGTCCAAAAATACGCTTCTCTCTTTTGTGAATAAAAGAAAACAAACAAACCCCTTGATGATGTTACTATGAAATTTATAGATCCATTGATTATTCTCAAATCATCAAGGAAACACTTCTAAAAATACCCTCAAATATAGAAAACATTAGTAGCTTTGCTCTTCCAGAATTTGGACTACTTAAACCCTAAAAATAGCAAACGGCACACTTCATAGTAAACTGAATCGCGAAGACTGCTCGAGCGACCACTTCATTGCTTGAGTGAACTCACTAAAACGTGTGCCCATCGCTCTAGCCAAGACTGCACCGCTCGAGTGCAAAACGGATTTTTTCAAATCCCCATACATAGTTAGCGAAATGGCAAATATGAAATGATCAAGATCACAAACTTCTCTACATAAGAATAATTCGGGTTGGATTCTCATCTAAATACGCACATCCTTACTGAAATAAAAGAGTGAATAAAATTATAACTAAAAGGAGTTTTGTCAAACGAGATTGTCAATTACAAAAATCTAATAATATGAATTGGAGTGGGAGAGTTAGAGTCAAAAAGATGATTCCTTACTTTTTTCTCTCATTCAAAATCGTGCATGAAACTTTCATCTTGACCTTGAGATGTGAATCATCCAAGACATATTAAAATGACATACTCCTTCCGATCAAATGGGGGGTTTGAAACCAAACTCCTCCTCCGGAGGATAGATAGGGCAATTAAGGTGGGATCCAACATAGATCCAACTTTTAATTCCTTTGTGGGATTTGGGCGGTCCGAGGGGACCATCGCGACTCCTCTCTTTGTATTTTATTAGGTATTTTTTTTTCTATGTTAGTATTTTGGATAAATTACATTTACTTTTCCTGAGGTTATACTTTTAATACAATTACATTGACTTTTCTTAATGTTTTAATTCACATAATACTTAAAACTCTTTTTAATTAGTAATTATTTAGTAATATGATTGAAAAAAATAATGTTATCATTTATTTCTCAACTAAAATTAGTCTCGGTCATTTTAGCCATACAAAAGTGAAGGTAGTGTAATTATGTCCAAAGCATTAGATTAACTGTATTTTTTCAAAATCTCAAAGGATGCAAGTGTAGTTTATTCTAGTATTTTTGTAATAAATATTACATATAAAGTTACGATAATTTGTAATTTGTGATACTTTTGCACATTTTTAATTCAAAAATATTTTGATGAATATATATTATTATCACAAAAATATATAATATCATGTAATTTCAATTCTAAATCACAAAATTGCAATCCAACATCATTAGTCAATTTTTTTTGATGAAATTATGAACAACAGTACCACCAATGAGTCTTTAACATAGTTTAACCCTATTTAAATTTCACTGTATCATATTAAATCCTTATTACACCAACAACCACTGTCACATTCAGTTACTGATTCAGATTCATTTTCCCAAACTCTAAAACACCTCTCCAACTCTTCCATGGAGCTTCTTCTGCTCACCCTCTTCCTTACACTGTTCTCTGCACTCTCAGTGTCTTCCACACAAACAGTAGTACAAGGATTCCCAACCTCAACCCCCCAAACCTCCTTATCAGTAGAAAAAGAAACAGACTTCTTAATTTCCCCAAACAGAACATTCTCTTCTGGGTTCTACAAAGTGGGCACAAACGCCTTCTGTTTCTCAATCTGGTTCACCAATTCCCTCAACAAAACCGTTGTCTGGATGGCCAACCGAGACCGCCCCGTTAACGGAAAACAGTCCCAGTTAACCCTCCGGAAAAGAGGCAACCTGGTATTAACTGACGCCGGTGGCTCGGTCATGTGGGCCACCGACACATTCTCGCGAGGACAAGTGGAAGTCCGGCTTCTTGACACCGGGAATTTAGTACTAGTGACAAACAGTGAGAATGTGATCTGGCAAAGTTTTGATTATCCCACAGACACCCTTCTCCCGACACGATTGCTTGTCAGGAACACGACGTTGGTGTCTATGAGGGGACGAGGTATGCACTTGTCCGGGTACTATAAATTAAAATTTGATGATAATAATGTACTGAACCTTATCTATGACGGTCCTATGATTTCGAGTATTTATTGGCCTAGCACCTTGCGAGAGACAGTGTTCTATTTTGGCAGAACACCGTGCAATAGCTCCAGGGTGGCATTTTTTAATGAAAGAGGAAGGTTTAGATCGAGTGATCATTTGAAGTTTAATGCATCAAATTTTGGGGTTGGGCCTAAAAGGCGGTTAACGCTGGATTATGATGGGATTTTGAGGCTGTATAGCTTGGATGGGGCGACCGGGCTTTGGGAGGTGACGTGGCAGCCCGGTGGTGTTGATGTTTGCAAGGTTCAAGGACTGTGTGGACCATATGGTTTTTGCAGGTACAACCCTTTGCCTACTTGTTCTTTGCCCTTACGGTTTTTACAGAATTGACCCTTCTGATTGGTCCAAAGGCCGCTCGCCTCGGTTCAATCTGACTTGTAATTCTACAACAACAAATCAGCTTGACTTTGTCATGATCCCAAACACAGGTTACTATGGATATGATTTGGACACCTATGGCCTCGGCTTGAGTTTTGAATCTTTCAGGAATGTGCCTGATTGATTGCAAATGCCAAGGTTTCGTGTATTCGCTTGGTGGAAAAGGAGAGTGCTTTCCCAAAAGGAATCTCTTGAATGGATTTCAAATGCTTGATCTTTGCAGGGTGGCTCATGTAAAAGTTCCAAGAGATATAGTGATCTCTCATAAAGGGAAAGTACTAAATACGACTAGTGATTTGAATTGCTCGGCTGCAGAGGTGATGGTGTCGAGTGGTGGTGGTTCTGGCATTAGTGGTGGTGGAGAAGACACAAAGCAAAATGGGTTCATGAAGTTACTAATTTCATTCGTGGGTTCGGTAGCAATCATTGAAATGGTCTGCATCGGCTTAGGTTGGTGGTTTGTGTTGCGAAAACATGTCCATGAGGAACTTGTGAATATGGGTTACATTGTGCTAGCATTGGGCTTCAAACGGTTCACATACGCTGAGCTAAAAAGGGCAACTCTGAACTTCAAACAAGAGACAGGAAAGGGGGGTTTTGGGACAGTCTACCGGGCAATTTTGGACAACCAGAGAGTCGAGGCGGTGAAGAGATTGGAAGGCATTTTGCACGGAGATGCCGAGTTTTGGGCAGAGGTGAGCATCATAGGGAAGCTCAATCACCGAAATTTGGTGAAAATGTGGGGCTTCTGCGCGGAAGGCGAGCACAAACTATTGGTTTATGAGTACATGGAAAATGGGTCATTGGACAAACTCTTGTTCACAGACTCATCAAGCAGTGCCTTAGACTGGGAACATAGATACAACATTGCTCTTGGGACAGCGAAAGGCTTGTCCTACATACACGAGGAGTGCCTCAAGTGGGTACTCCATTGTGATGTAAAGCCTCAAAACATACTACTAGATGATAACCTCGAACCCAAGGTGACAGATTTTGGCATGTCAAAGCTTTATAGAGAAAGCCTTGACATGGGTTTTTCCAGGGTGCGCGGGACTAGAGGGTATTTGGCTCCTGAATGGATGATGAACGTAACAATTGATGCGAAAGCCAATGTGTACAGCTATGGGATTGTCTTGTTGGAATTGCTGACCGGAAAGAGGGCATCTAGTCTCCATTGGCAAGTAGGTGAAGAGAACGAGTACAATCGGTTGGTACAATTTGTGAGGCAAAAGATTAAGCAAGACATGCTTGTGGAAGTGATTGATCCAAGATTGAACCATGTTTACAGTGATGGGAAGCTTGAAACATTGGTGGAAGTTGCGTTGATGTGCGTTGGGGAAGATCGCGATACAAGGCCTGCCATGAGTAAGGTTGTGGAGCTTCTGAGTGGCGATGATGATGAGAAGAGCATAGATGATCAGGAGGGGGATAATTAGATTATAAGAGGTTGCTTGTTTGTTTGAATTTACAGGTATAATTGTTTTCCCAATTGTATGTATTTTCACAATTATAATGTATGTTAGTTACTTTCTGTTACCATAGCATAGCCTGAGAGTTTAATCTACTCAAAATGCATTGAGGGTTCTTATCAGTTTCTAGTAAATGTTTAGTTACTCATGCTCAAGTTTGGTAAAAATAATCCAAGACTTGCAACAATGGATGGGCATTGGATTTGTGGTATTTCGTCCCCGTCTCGATGTTGAGTGTCACTTTTAGATGTGAAAAATAAGAGACAAATGAATATTTTGATGCTGTAGTTTTGTTATATTTTAAAAATTAAATATGTATAGATAGTTGGTTAATTTCTATCCTGCTTGAGTTTGCGGGGGGCTGTTAGAATTTCTCCACACCTACCACCTCCACTATCTTTCTCCACACCTACCACCTCCACTATCACACACTCCACTACCATCTTCTCCTCTATATATAGGACTTGTAATATACAGAATAAATCAACATCTACATCAATTAATAATAATACATCAGTTATTTTAACAAGGGGGATAATTAGATTATAAGAGGTTGCTTGTTTGTTTGAATTTACAGGTATAATTGTTTTCCCAATTGTATGTATTTTCACAATTATAATGTATGTTAGTTACTTTCTGTTACCATAGCATAGCCTGAGAGTTTAATCTACTCAAAATGCATTGAGGGTTCTTATCAGTTTCTAGTAAATGTTTAGTTACTCATGCTCAAGTTTGGTAAAAATAATCCAAGACTTGCAACAATGGATGGGCATTGGATTTGTGGTATTTCGTCCCCGTCTCGATGTTGAGTGTCACTTTTAGATGTGAAAAATAAGAGACAAATGAATATTTTGATGCTGTAGTTTTGTTATATTTTAAAAATTAAATATGTATAGATATATACATAAAAAGTTATTTAATTAATATAATTGGGATTGGAGTGGGAATGGGAAGAACTAGGGATATGGGATAGGGACAAGGAGAGGCCAATCCTATTCCCTCTCTGTTTTTTTATTGGAAGGGAAAAAACTAAATGCAGAGCGAAATAAGGGAATATGAGATTGAGATGGGGTGGGATAAATTGCCATATTTGATTTATCCTATTAAGTAATATTTTGAAACTTGCTGAAAAAATTTTTAAAAAAAAAAAATTTCAAAATTATTGATTCAAACTGTTGAGTCAATTAAAATTAAACTGTAACGTGATAATTAATTTATAAATACACTAAAAAATTATACATAAATAAAAAAGTTTAAGACAGCATAGATAGCGCCTGTAGAGAGCACTTTTCAGATGAAAATTTGAATAAAAGTGCACATAAATGGTGAAATCGAAGCACGTGGTTAGGTTGATATAGAACGTCTAATTTCATCCCATGCTTATTTGGAGCAAACAATAGCCAATATCATATAGAAAAAGTTTGGGGATGGAAAAATTAATTCAAAAGATGACAAAAAATAAAATATATAGTATAGATTGAAAGTAATATCACATTAGTCACATTCAAAATGAATTTAGTTCACATATTTTGTTTTGACTTTTTTTTTTTTTTTTTGGAGATGGCTTTTCTATTTGGCTTGGTGGACCTATTCTGAAGTTCACTTCAATTATTCGAATAACTCATTTTATAAGACTTGTTAAGATAAAAATTGTTAAGTAAAAAATTAAGTTAATCGGATATTAGTAACTATATGTTCAAATTACATTATGTTATAAAATTGAATGGTAAATATAATTTTAAAAATAAATCAATTTTTTTTTTACAATAAATGTATTTCGATTATCTGGCTACTGATATTTAATAAATATAATTTTTTTGCACAAATGCCCTTGTTGAATAAAAAAAATGAACGAGTCAAACAATTTAAAGTGAGCTTTAAAATGACCCCACTAAACCTAACAACACTCTAATGTCACGACCCAAGCCTGTTTCTATAAATTTAGAGTCGTAACCGGCCAGTAATCCTTAGATTACCAAAAGCCTTCGAACAGTTTATTATATATTAAGAGGCTGCGAAAGCAAATATATAAAACATATATAGCCTCCGTTTGGGAAGTAGGTTGACTTTTTGACTATTTTAGTCTGGGGCTAATTTGGAAAGAACTTTTTGACTTTTTTAACTTTTAACTTTTTGATGAGCTGTCTTCTTGTTAATTTACCAAACTACCCATCATACACGGAGGCTAAGAAATTCCAAGCAACTGGTCCTCCACGTCAGCCAAGAATTTGGACCTCAATTGTTGTTGTTGTTTTTATTTTTTATTTTTTATTTTTTATTTTATGTTGGGTTTGGAGTTGGCCTATTTTTGGTTAAATTTTTTTTTATTTTTATTTTTGTTTGGATTTGGCGTATTTTCCTTTAAAAAATATTATTTTTTTATTTTGAGTTTGGATTTGGCGTATTTTGTTTAAAATTTTTTTCTTTTTTTATTTCTTGGATTTGGCGTATTTTGCTTAATTTTTTTTTAATTTTTTTATTTTAGTTTTGGATTTCGCGTATTTTACTTAAATCTTTTTATTATTTTTATTTTCTATTTTGGGTTTGGATTTCGCGTATTTTGCTTAAATTTTTTTTTAATTTTATTTTGGGTCGCGTATTTTGCTTAACTTTGTTTTTTTTTTTTTTTTTTGAGTTTGGATTTCGCATATTTTGCTTACATTTTTTTTATTTTTTATTTTTTATTTTGGGTTTGGATTTCGCATATTTTGCTTAATTTTGTTTTTTTTTTATTTTTTTATTTTAGGTTTGGATTTGGCGTATTTTGCTTAATTTTTTATTATTTTTTTAAATTTATGTTTTTGTCATTTTTATTTTTTTATACATTAATTAGTTCTTGTTCTTTAATTTTTATTGGTATACAAATTCTTTTTTTTTAGTTTTCATATGTTTTATTTATTTGTAAATTACGTGGCAAATGCTAATTTCTGTTTCTTAGTTTTTTTTTTCTTTTTTTTTGGATGAGGCGCATTTTTGTCGTCCTTTTTTTTTTAATTTACGTTTTTGTAATTTTTTTTTTGTATACATTAATTTGGTTTTATATTTGACAAATGGGTTTTCATGTGTTCTATTTTTTTGTAAATTACGTGGCAAATGCTAATTTCTGTTGTTATGTTTTTATTTTTGTTTTTGTTTGGATGAGCCGTATTTTGGTCGTTCTTTTTTTTTAATTTACGTTTTTGTCATTTTATTTTTTTGTATACATTAATTTGTGTTTATATTTCAAAAATGGGATTTCATGTGTTTTATGTATTTGTAAATTACGTGACAAATGCTCATTTTTTGATTTTAAAATTTATTTTTTATTTTTTGGATGAGCCGTATTTTTGTCGTTCTTTTTTTTTTTAATTTACAGTTTTGTCAAAAAAAAATTGTATACATTAATTTCGTAAATGTTCTTTTTTTTTTTTACGTGGCAAATGTAAAAAAAGATTTTTGGTAAATTAATTTTTTTGGTATATTAATTTGTCGCGTAAATTTTTTTTGGTACATTAATTTGGTAAATTTTTTTTTGTATACATTAATTTTTAACTTTATTTTTTTACGTGGCTCAATTCACGATTTTGTACACATGACGTGGAAAATGTTCTTCTTTTTTTTTCCCGAGAATGGGATAGTGTGAACAAAGACCCAAGGGTAATTTGGTAATTTCACGCCTCCTTGTATGTAAGATGCAATCCTGAAGCCTTTTGTCCTGTAGTGGCTAATTTAGCCAATTTCATCCATGTAGTGGCTAATTTAGCCCACAACTCCCTTGCCAAACGGACCCATAGTACATTGAACTGTACTGACATACATGGGACAGAATTTTCAAAAACATATATATATATATATATATATACATGTGACGTCATAAATACGATAGTCTTGCGTCACCCATTTACACAAATAAAGTCAAAAGGGGACTTAACTCAATATACAGATAAACAGAAAACTTGTTCATGTACCAAAAGAAAACAAGTCTTATACATTTACAAAACATGACCACATGACTTCCGGAGCCTCTTCGGGAGGCATAAGGGTTGGCCGACAAAACAAGCTTCAAGCGATCATCATTGAGCCTGGTCACGTGCTTGATCACCTACATACATAATATAAATAGTGAGTAGAAGCCCAGAAAATAATAACAGAGTAAAGGGTTTTAGTTGAATGATGTCCCATATCAGATTTGGAAATCAGAGTTCATATTAGTAACAGATTCATATTCATATATAGAAATCAAAATTCATGCTTAATCATACGTGGTACATCCATTAGCACTAACAGAACAGACACAAAACATATGGTGGTTATGTATAACCAGTTCCATAAAGGAACCTCCAGATCCGGGTAACAGATAATAGATAAGCTGAGCTCCATGATGATGGAGCCTCCAGTACGGGTAACAAATTGCTGACATATTAAGTTCCATGATGGAACCTCCGTTACAGGGTAATAACTAACAAATATCACATGATGCTAAGGATGCCACGAATACATGTAAGAAATTAGACAATCATTCATTGTACAGAACATAACATTTCAGAAAACAGATCTTATTTCATCATACAGAAAATAAATAAAGTTAAATATAACTTTACAAAATTATTACTCACAGATGGCTTAGAAAGCAAATAGATAGAGCAGACAAATTAGATAGCTTACAACGCGTAACCTATACAACATAACAGATACATACATAGTGAAACACACACTTGGATAGCACTCAACTTAGTTCTTTCTTAACTTGGCGTGTTTCTAGTCCTTGTCCTCATTATTATGTTTTAATCTTGGCGTAGGAATGCGTAAGATGCATTGAGGATGCGGAAATACACTTGAAAACACTTAGTCAAATATGTTGAAAACAGGGGCCTCGCTCAAGCGTAACTTCTTCTGTTCAAGCGGAGGCTCAATTATGTAAGCGGTCACTTGAGCGCAACTTCCTTCGCTCGAGCGGTCTGTAAACTCTGTAAAAGTATTGGTTGTGTG